TACCTCCCCCTCCTTTACTTACCCTGTACCCCTATCCATCCTACCTCCTTTCCCCACTGTACCCCTGGACCCTCCTTTTCCTCCAGCCCAGAGTTGGAGGCTCAAGAGCACTGGAGAGAAGCAGGTGGGACAGGTGTCGTCTGCCCGCCCAGAAGACAGAGTGAGGGCACCAAGGCCTTTGCTCTGGTCTGGCCCGCCCCCTGTCAAGGCTGAGGATGACTCAGGGCCCAGCTGTCACCTCAGCAGCACGCGTCGCCTAGTGATGGCGGTCTCCCGGCAACGGTCGTCTCCTAGCAATGGGATATTTTCCCCTGGCCCTGGCTGGAGCCAGTGGCTATTTTTAGCTCGGCTTCAAATCAATCAGCAGCTGCATTTTGGGCTCCTCAGAAGATGCAAGGTGTTGCAGGGTGCGCTTCTCAGCAAATGAGAAGACACAGAGATAGAAACCTTAATGCCTGACCCCTTGAAGTGCTGGGCTGAAGGTGGGTGCAGCCGGATCCCATGGGAATGGGTGGGCACCCGACACCGCTTGGGAACTGGCAGCTATGATCATGTCCTGGATGAGGTCTCTGTGTTCAAGGGGCTGATGGCTGAGTCACCCTGAAGCTGCCAAGGTCCAGCTGGGTACAGTAACCAAAGGCAGCACCCACAGTGGGTGCCACTGGTGCGCTTTACGGGGTGCCCTGATATCCCCTGCCCATCAGTTGTAGGAAGTGTCTCCCTTGTTCACACCCAGCCGCCCCATCCATGCTCGGTCCTGGCTGTAAGGGTCCTGGTGTCACAGGCTTAGCTACATCTAGTCCCCACCTGGCTTCAAGTGAAATCTAAGATCTGTGAAGAGGGCAGTCTTGGGCAGGTGGGAGACTTGTCCTCTTTTTAAGGTTTTCTCACAAGATCAGGAGAAACTCAAATTCATCCACTGCCTTCATCGGGTCCAGGGAGCTGATCCTGCCTTCTTTCCCATTTATATTTTGTGGTTGAGTTTGTTCGAAGCTCCGTGGTCCTAGGGCCATTGCCTCTCTAACCCATGTCAACTCTCCTCACTTGGATCTCTTCCCCAAATTGCCCCATTAGATGGCCTGCTCATTGTGAGTCAGTGCATGTCTGCAATCAACTCTCCTGCTGAATGTTGGGGCTGCCTGTCCTCTGCTCTCCTCGGGGACCAGCACACTGTGGATATACCATCAGTGTCCTCAACCTGCAAAGGCCTGTGTTACAGGAGACAGCCATGGCTGGAGGTGGGCAGCCTGAGCGGTGATACTTGTGATAACAACTAAGGCCTCTGCTGCTACCCACTGCATCCTGCGAGATGCAGTACAAGGCCCCGAGGAAGGCAGGACAGAAAACAGGTCTTAAGATGGTTTCCAGCTTGGACAACCCCTGTGATGGCTAATATTGGTTGTCAATTTAACACACTTAGGAAGAGAGAACCTCAATTGAGGAATTTCCTCCATTAGATTGGCCTGTGGACGTGTCTTTGAGGCATTTCCCTATCTCTGAGCACCTCTCTTTATATATGTATGCATATATATATATATATATATATATATATATATATATATATATATATATATATATA